TTGGAAATAATATATGGCTGATAATATATTTATGTGTTAAATATTAAAATTAAACAAAAACCTATGAAATCTTTATACGATACGTTTAAGAAAATTTAGTGCGAAAATTGGTCCAGAGGGAGTACTAAGCTGCAGAAGTATTGTTTCTTTTAAGCTTTAATAAGTCAGGTGATGGGATCACGGTAGGGTTACAAAGAAATTATATTCCTTTTCATACCATACCATTATCAGGTGTATAGTGAAGATTTCACCTTGTTGGCAAGTACCGTGTCAGGATAGCAAAGGGCACAGACCAGATGTTGGATGCTTTATGGAAAGCTCCGACTCAACTTTTCCCCTCCACATTCATGCACATCCTACGTCCAGGACTCGAGTCTGGTCTAATACACGGCTAGATTGGAGGACAAGCATTTCCTCAGTCCGTCCTCAAATAGTGCTGTGAGCAGCACAAAAAGAAGTCAAGAGCAGGGGAAGGAGACGTCTAACCGCGCTCAGAGTGATCTCAGTCGCACAGAAACGAGCTGTGATTTGGAATGTTGATTATCGGCACTTGGGCTTCCACACTGAATAGAGAACTCATCATTTAAAAGATTACCTTTGTAGATGATGATAAGAGCACATATTCTTCCTCTGCAGACAACATTTGTGCGGTGGCGGCCATTATGGCTGGTGCTTTTATCAGTGATTTGGAATGGAGCTGTCAAAAACTTTAAAAAGCTTCTATTAAAGTAATGCGGGTTTATCTATCTAAGACCTGTGAAATTTATCAAGGAATCCGGTTTTGGCCTCCTTTTCTAATAAGAGGGTGCAGCCGCAGAGCAGGGCACTCGGCTCCCCGGCCTCTAGGAAGTCAGGCATTTGGTTAGCAGCCCGGGTTTGAGAATCTCTGGAGAGCAGAGCTTGTGGACCTTTGGAAACCAGTCCTTTCCTGTCCTTTATGGGGACAGCAGTGTTCCTTGGCTGCAGTGAAGTGGGGTAGCTTAGCACGAGGAACGCAAGAACACTGCTTCTACTGCCCTGCAGCACGCGCGTGTGGGGATTTGATTGCAGAGATTGCAAATTTGGCTGAATATTAAAAATTTAAGTGTAGTTGTTAGTTTTACTGTATCGTCTTTCTGTTTATTGGTACCGAAGCTGCTATATAGTGTTGGGAGTTTTAATGCTCCGCTTTTGTTGTCTCTTTTAATACAATTTCAATGTGTGACACTGGAATTTCCTTTTCTCCAGCTGGGCTTTTTCAGCTGATGTATCGATGCCTGCTGTGAAAGCAGTGCTGTTAGCTGATGCTGGCTGGACGCAGTAGCTCTGAAGCTTGGGAAGGGGAGACCCCAGGAGTTGCGTGTTACTGCCTACCTGGGAGCCAGAATAAGAGCTATTAGAATAGTTTGGATATCTCCTCCTTATTTCTGTTGCCTGCTTTTTTTTCCTTCCCTCTAGCCCTTCTTTTGGAAAAGCACTCCTCCCTTCCCTTGGCTGGAATCACGTTGTTGCGTATTACAAAACTGTCAGTCGTAACAACTTGTAAATGGTTGACCCTGCTCAACACCGAAACAGAGCTGTGATTGCAGCTGAAGTGCTTCTGTGGGCCGAAAGGGCAGATCCTGCTCACCGAGGTTTTTTTGAGTTAGTGCCCAACCACGGTCTTTAGGGGTCGTAACGTGTCGTGGAAAGTTATCGTCTTCGGAGCAAAGTTGAATTACTTTTACTTTTTTGGGAGTTGTAGTAATGCAGACGGTTTGGCCAAACTTCAGGGTGGGTGATTGGATGCTTGCTACTCAGAATTCCACAGGAATTTCATTCGGACGTGGGATCATTGGCTTTTTGCTCCAATGAAAAGGCAAACAGTTATGAGAGCATCTTAATGCTGATGGTAGCGGGTGCTGAAGGGAAGCCCTTGATGTGCCCTGCAGCACTTCACTGGTTAATGCAGAGAAGTTGATCTCTGAAAATGCCCTAAGGCAGTCAGGAAAATTCTGCTCGTAGGGAAAAACAAAGCATGAGGAAAAGCGCATAACCTGAAAAATAGAGATAGGTGAGAAAAGAAGAAGAAAGAAAATGAGACTGTTCCGGTCTGTGTACCAGCTGGGGGTGAACTATGAATCCTGTGCTGCGAGAGGGTCTAGACAGATCAAAACACTGGGGTCAGCAGATCAGAAAGCGAGACCCAGAGTAATCATCTGATAAGGAAACAATTTCTCAGAGTGATAATCTTCAGTCCAGAGTAATCTTTGAAATTGGCCATGCTTTTGGCTGCTCCACCACCTCTTTTGAGAGCAGCCGCTTCACCACTACCAAATAACTGAGATTCTGAGAGAAGAGTGAGGCTGAAGGAGGATGAGCCCCTGAGGGGAGCGGGGAAGGCACGCGGGGAGGTGCGTGCTGTGTCAGTCGGCGTGAGCTGGGGCATAAAGGAAAAAAAATGCCAAGAAAGCAGCCAGTCACTCATCCTAAGTTCCACCAGAGCGGGTGTTTTAGACAGAGTGAACAAAGAGCGCAGCGCTAGCTCACATTCTTGTTTCCTAGAAAAGGAGACAGTATTCGAGCAGGAGATTAATGGGGTTTTAACTTGAACACAAATGGGACGTCTATTACATTTCAGTTGAATGCTCATGAATGTACTGTTGTGCTTCCAGAGACACCTCAATTTATTCCAAAAGAATAAACATTAAAAATAAAATTTCAGGTCATTAAAAGAGTGAGTTATCCCTGTGAAAGGAAGAAGTGCGTTATGGCTAAGTATGAAAGCGAAAATGTGAAAGAATACAGGCAAAAAGAGTATCTGTTAATCAGGTTCTGTATGTATCAAAACTCTTTTCTCGGGTTGTAAAAGAGCGCCTATACTGGTGGAGCGTTTATTAGAACCCTCAAGGGAGAAACTAAGAATATCTTCAAAGGTAAATAAGTTCTCTGACGATTAGGGGAAGAGTTCAGACAGACCAGCGTACGGGCTCCTCGCTTCCGAGGGGGCTCACCGGGGTGGGAGTCACCATTCGGGCGCCGCGAGGCTGCGGAGATGGGAAGAGGGAACCTTTGGCCTCTGTCTAGGCTGAAAGGGGATTTATATGTATTTATACATCTATATTTATGTATATACAGAAAGGAAACATTTTCTATAACCAGAGAAGACAAGTGTTTGGGATGGATAAAACAGAAACCGAGCATTTTTAGGTTAGAGGGCACGTGGCAAATGCCCATAAACATGTCAGCTACAGTTTCGCACATTGCTGACAAACAAAATGACAGAATTTCCCGGTAGGGTGGATTATTATTGCCAGAGAGAAGGGTCAGAATAAGAACCTGCACATATTCTGTTGGTAAGTGGTGTCCAAAATGGCAAGTTAAAAGTTTCTGTTGCTGCGCTGAGGGGAGGGTTTAAGTTGAACAGGCTTTTGTGTACAGCTCCTGCTGCATCCTCAGTGGTAATACTTAAAGTCTTACTGGGAAGCCTGTTTGTCCTTTTAGAAACTGTAAAATAGGTACCGGAGAAGGTCTATGATATTTTATTAAAGCCTCTAGGGTGTAGGATTGAGGAAAGTTTTCCAAAGTGTTGATGGGATGTCATGAAAGGCTGCGATCCGTACGTCTGCTGGGCGCTCCTGCTGCATTAGCAAACGTTAGTAGCATCCTGCGCAAGGACAACTTCAGCACCAAGTAATTCATAAATTGGTCTTGTAAAGATTAGCTGGCTTTGTGTCTAGCAGTGGGAGCCAAAGGATTCGCTGACCCCCTCGTTGTTAACAGTGAGTGTGCCACATACCCGCGGACCTGAAATAACGGTTAATTCACAAGCACGAGCGCGCTTTTGTTTCACTCCGGCTTGTTAAAGGTGCCAGAACTTCACTCCCCACAGAAGCATTGATGAGCTATCGCTATGCTAGAAATTCTTCAGACCAATCTTTCTGCACCGATGAGCCTGTGAAAGCCGGGAGAATGATACACTGTGGGCTGTTTCCAATCTTTTAATCGATCTCCCCTGTCTAACTAAACAAAGGACCCGTCTCGCACAGGCAGGGGAGGGCATCGCCCGTGAATATCCTGACAAAAAGTAAAATGACTGCAGCGGTATCTTTCTTTGTCAAATGGGTGAGTGGTGTTAAGCAGACAGTAAACCTGCCTCAGCTGTAGCAGCGCTGACCTGAAGGGCTTTGTTAACTGCCTGAGAAAAAAAAAAAAGCAGAGGGCATTTGAATACCTTGCAACCTCCTTGAGCCTGAAATAGTAAGCCAGAAATAACAAGGTTGCTGTTACATATCAGAGAGGCCAAAAGCTTAGCGGGAATTGAAAAGGATTAACGTTTCATAGACTTGGAAAGAATATGAAGAGTTGTTCTTGTTTCCTGAAACAAAAGTGAATTGGGAGAGCTCTAAAGCCACCTGCTCAGTACATAAGCCAGCCTTTTAGCGATGGCAGGGAGGAGGAGACTTGCTGTCAGGAAATAATGTTAAAGAACTCTTCGCTGCAGGTTATATCCCAAAAAGAGATGTGAGGGAGGGCCAAAAAATGTTACTTTCTTAGAAGAATTGAGAATCTTTTTGATCTAAACTGTTTCTTGTACCCTGAAATTATTTCCAAAGGGATGTGACACCATTACCACCTGCCAATGCACTGCTCTACCACAATCGCCGTTTGGTCCAAGCAAAAAGTTCATGTTTCAACTTGGTGACTGAAAAAGAAAGCATCTACTTTCTAATATTCAGGACATTAAAATTTTATCATAGACTGGATATTTTATTATTTAATCTTTTCCCCAAAGTGTGACATGATTGAAATCTATTCTGACTTCACCAAGGTGTACCTTGATTAAGTCAACTAAATCGACAGAGCGAGTGATCAGCATCTGTAACGTTCAGTGGCCACTGTTAGTGGTGTGCCAAGAACGGGGTTTGCTGTGATGCCCCAGCAGCGTTTTTCTTACATTGCCTTTTCCTTTTATTGTTGGAAACACTCTTGATATTGAAGGCTCTTGGGGCTCTAATATTACCTTCCTCTCTCCCTCCTAGTGTCTATCAACTTGTTGTCAAGGAGGAGAAGCTGCAGAAAGCACGGAGAGCTGCAGACATCATTGAATGCTTCTCTGTCCCGGTGAGCTACAAGAACGCTTCCAGTCTTGACTCCCCGCACTACTTTGCAGCCGAGCTGAAACCCATCAACCTGCCCGTCACACAGCCTTTCACCGTGGGTGACAACAAAACCTACAACGGCTACTGGAATGCTCCGCTTTCTCCCCTGAAAAGCTACAGCATATACTTCCAGGCGCTTAGCAAGGCAAATGGAGTAAGTGCAGAGAAAATTGAAGTTGGATCTGTATATGTGACCACTTCTGTCTATCTTCCCCATCTTTCTCCTTCCCTCTCCTTTGGATGCCAGTTTAACTGTTACCCATTATTACACTCTTACAGAAATTTGAAGAAAATGTTGGGGAGCCAGACTATGTAAAGACACATGTTGGCATGTGATTTACAAAATTAATAGCTTAGAATTTGGATTTATTTTTTTTTCCTCGCACATGCATGAAAGTCAGAGTAGGGGCTATTGTGCTTTTAAAAGACGTAACTGCAATATCCCGATCGTCTCCAGTTCACAGTGCTTGTGATTTTAGAGGAGACATTAGGAGATGAGGTCTACCCAAAAGCTACGAAGTTGGATTACCTTGTAGCTTACATTTGGTCACATCACAGTGTAGCGCTTATGGTGAATTTTCAGCTTGAGTAAGTTGTACTGCGGGGGGGACTATGTGCATGTCTTTCTTAGTCCTTTTGAATACCATGGGCTGTATTTTTACATTAACTTACTCTCTGATACTAAGTTTAAAATGGAGACAGCACAGGAAACAGAGTCTGCCCTATTCTCAGACTCAAATGATGCACATGTAATGCCCCAACAGCTCCTGTCATAGGAAGAGCGAAGGCCTCTTTTCCCTCTTCTGCTCCAGCCCAGGCTAGTTTGTGACCTGCTCCTTTAACTTCCCTGTTTCAGGTCTGGTCAGCTGTCAGTGCACAGGTCAGATCCAGCCTAAGCAGTCATTCACCCTCCTCCCCTTTGACTCCCCTAATTGTTTTTCGTTATGACATAACATGATACAATTTGACACTCTGGCTTCATGAAGAGCCTTGGAGCGTTAACATGGTGTCGAGAAGTTGGGTAACCGAGTGCGTTATTAACACATTTGCCAGTGCTTTCGTGAATCTGACTTTAACATAGATAAATTCTCCAAGACACCCCCTCTGAAAGAGCAAAATTAGAAAAATCAATCAAAGGTGAATGGTGTAGGCTTTGGTCTCCACTTGGGATAGTATCTATTATACCCACCACGCAGCTGCATTTCACAGAGGACCAGACGTCGTTTAACAGGCTAGCAGTGCCTGTGCACGTTCACAACGTATCTTGGTGTTTTACTGCCTTCATTTATCACCATTCTCCTGCAGAGATTGTGCTGTGTGGCTGACAAGCACAAATCTCTTCAACCCTGTGCTGTTATTCACCTTGGTTTCCTTTCTAGACGATATATTTTCCTTCCAGTACTGCTCAATTAATTCAGTTTTGGATTTGCCTTTATAAAGGAAATTGTGAAATATATGTGTATGTCTCTCTGTGTCTAGTTAGTTCCCCCTTGTGTGATAGTTAATTGCTAGTGAATGGATCCCCAGGGAACAGAAAACTTTATTTGCTTAAGTACAATATAATATGCCATAAATGGGTTGTATGAATGGAAGTGTAGGCTTCCCTTGGCATTCCGGATTCAGGCAGCGGTAACGTCTGGTTCCTGCTCCTTCTGGGTCTCTCTAGCTGCCAGGTTGCATCACTCTCTACATACAAGGTGATGAGGACTCAAAAAAAGGGTGACTTGCTTGGGCTGTTCTAAAAGGAACACGAGGCTGTAAAGGACTTTTTAAAGCATAATTAATCCAAAGAGTCTGTGCGCAACAAGAGGCAGTGTGTGGAAGCACGGGAAGCGTCCTGCCAGACAGAACAAATTCCTATTTGAGCAAGAAATTGCCTCTTGTGTTAATAATTTATATTGGTACGGTATGTGCGTATATATCCTTGAAGTGCAGTGCTATGGGAAAAAATAAAGAGGAAATGTCCAAGAGTGGAATATGGATCTTCAGAGAAACAGCTGTGATAGTTTTTGTTTCTGGATAAAATCCTTAAGCCCCACATTACAAACATAAGGGTCTGATTTTCATCCAGTCTTTTGCAGCTGTAAATAATAAGTTTTGTTTCATTCCCAGAGTTGCTTACAGGTATAATTTGTATTTAAGTGTTCTGTGTTTTCACTGATGTCTATAATCTGAGCAGCTTCGACTGGTCTTCCTAAAGCCTGCTAATAATTATGGCTTCAATGTGGCGCTTTTGATAATGTACATCTGCAAAAAATCTGAAACAGTAACAATTTAGCACAATTAAAATGTAGCCTTATGTTCCCTCGCACATGAAAAACTTAACACGATATTGCCACTCATTTTTTAATTAGAATATTCTATAGTTTCATTAATCACTGACAGTTGTGGAATGATGAAACTTCTTTCCACACCTGGAACCTGCAATGAGAAACCTTTGGGCAGTGAACCAGAACATCTTCCTTTGGAAATGTAGGACTCTGGGGAGCGCTTAATTTGAAGAAACATTCTGTATTTGGTCAAAAAGCTTGATGAGAAGGAGGTAGAAGTGTTACAGGAGTTCTGCATTGTTTCAGCTCCTCTGTACGTGGAGGGTTGCACTCATTTGGTGTTCTTGTCTGCTCTGCAACCATTAGCCGTGATTGTTACAGTGAAAGGAACATAATTAACAGCTGGATGGAAAACAAGTGTGGCAAATTGCTGCGAAATCAGATCATGAGCTTTTCTGCCTCCTCTCCTGCAACGTTGTCCTCCATGTTTGAGAGTTTGAATGAGATAGCTGTCGCTGGCTGAATTCTTTTCTGTGGACAGTTGTGTGAAGTTTGGTCGAGGTGGTGCTGCTTCCAGACAGGGGTCTAAATAGAACATGTGTGAAACAGAACTGGTTTCAGCTTTGTTATACAAAACGCTCCCAAATTGTGTGAATCTCCCTCCTAGGGGCTGTTGAAAGCCAGATGCGGAGCTGAAATGTGTCAGAGTTTGAAGTAAGAGGGGAAAAAAAGAGAAGCAGGAACCTGAAGCTCCAGGCTTTGTAACCCTGGGGGTGAGAAGCACCGTTAGTTACTGTTTAATTGTTAGAAGGAGTTAGCACAGGAGGTGACACAGGAAGAACTGACAACTGGCTTCACTCTCCTTTGGCAGGTTCTCCACACATGCTGTCGCAGCCATCCAGGGAGTTAACTGGTGTTTGCTGGCTGTCCTGGTGCCACCTGCTACAGATTGCTGCCTGAGCATCAAGTTTTCCTTGTCTGAACCCCCTCCTGAGCTCAGCCCCTCTAAAACACCAGCTCCTTCAGGGTTTATCCTTCTGAAAGGGGTGGTCAGGGTGGTGACACCATGTTACTCCTTATCTTCTCTTATTCTTGTACTGATTTCATCATCGGAGTTAAATGTTGCAGGTTTTATTGTCCCCAAGTTCTTTATCTGGGTCATTGTAGGTGACAGTCTTGACCCAGTAACACGCTCAGATGGGGAGAATTCTTCAACTGTGGTGTGAAAGCTGCCTGAATTTTTGTGCAGCTCAAAAAACAGAGCTTCCTCCAAATCTGTCCTGCGGTTGCATCTTACCTCATTGAGCTAAAATGAAACCTGTAACGGCACAGTTGCAATCAATAGCTCTTGGCCATTTTTCCTCCAAATGGGAGATGAGGCAGGAGCCTTCGTAACGCAGCTGGAGATGATGTGGGGGATGCTGCCCGCTGCTCCGGCAGCCTGGTGGTCCAACAGGTGAATGATGTTTTCGAGCCAGAATTGTGAAAAGTAGCACCACAGGAATCAATGAGAATATTATTTTTGAGGGAATGACAGACTCTACAGAGATTTTTATTGATTTTTTTTTCCCCCCTCTAATGACTTGTACTACATGCACAATCAGGCAGTTCATTATTATCAGGGGACTTCGGGCTGGATTTGTAGATGCTGACAGGTCTGCTCACTGTACACAACATTCTTCTTCTGGGACGTTTTGGAGGTATGGCTAGAGCTGCCAGCAGAGAGGTGGCATTCATCCCTGCGGAGACGGGCCGTGGAAAAAGCAGTGAGGTGCTTCAGGTCAGCACAAGCTGTGTTCTGAAAAATGAAGTGCCACCAAGGCCACCTGCAATGCTTCTGTGAACTATTAAACAGCTTCAAGGAGCTCTGTGTGGAGTAGAATTTTGGGTGTACGGTTTTGTTCACTTCTGTTTATTCCTTCTTAATCTCATGTTGGAGCTGCTGGGGCAGAAATAAAGCAGTTGCGGAAGCATTTCCCCCTCTGAAAGCCCCCGTTTCCACATCTGGTTGGCCATCTTGGGCCAGAGTATGCGGACCTGAGTGTTTTCTGCGTAGTAAATAAAATCCTCCTCCGGTCTACCTCACATTTGAGAGGTGTTGGCATTCAATGATTAACTATATATCATTAGAAATATAGAAAATATTTAGAATTAGAAATATATCAATAGAAATAACTTTCTGTTGTAAATAATAAAAGCCCTAACCGCTTTGTTAAACCTCCCTTCTCCAAACGGCACGGATACTAAAAATAGCAGATAATTGGGAAGGCAAATACTAGGTTTTGCTCAGTCTCTCGAAGAACTAGCAGTTTCCTTAAGCTGGCAGTAGAAATTGTAAGGGGACTCGTTGACCCTGCACAGACACAGGCGCATGATTAACTTTAAAGACAGCAAACAGTTGGCTTCAGTGGGATGAAAAAGCAACACGTGCTCTAGAGCTCCCCTGAACTTGGGCAAAATTTGTTGAGGACCACAAAAATAATGCCTTCAGATGTTCAGTGGACAGAACCACAGTGTCCCTCCTGTGGGAAGCAGGTTGCCAACAGGCTCGCTCAGGGTATAGCTCTGGGACGTGGGGAGCTAAAGTTGCAACAGAGGCCAAGTGGGAGATCGGTAATTACTTGTCTTGTCCATACACCAGCAAAAGCGAAAATTGCCTCTCCCCCGTTTGAGCTGCCTGATGAAACTGTGCCTGTCGCAGGGCAGCCCCGACCGGTGCGTCTGGGGACAGCAGGTCGCGCTGGCGCTGGCAGGTGGTTCTTCAGACAAGGCATGCTCTGTTTAACTAAGGCAAAGTCATAATAATAGTAAAGGAAAGAAAAAATTGTGGGTGTGAAAACAGATGGATGAAAAAGCTCTGCTGCTTTTATTGTTGTTGTAGTCTGTAAACAGCAAGCTGTCATTTTAAAGAAAAAGGAAAAAAAAAAAGTCATTTGCCCTTTTAGGTTGTGAAGACGCAGCTGTCATATAAACATATGTCCTGCTGCCCTCATAGCACGTTTCTGCAGAAAATTGTTCCCGTCCAAACACTAAAGAGACAGAGGCAGAACTCGCGTTGTTATCATCCAGTGTGCTTCAATGAGATGTGCATTTAAGAACCTAAATAATTAGTTGACAGCTCCCTTGCTTTGAAAAAGAAAGAAACAAACAATATCAAAAGAACATTTAAAAGAAATCTGAAAATTCGGAGGGACGCTGAAACAGGCCCATGGTGTGTAGTTCGAAGTCTGTGTGCGTGAGCTGTGCTGGCAGAGAGGGCTTCCCCAGCGCCTCAGCGCCATCCCAGTTCTCTTCAGGGGATCTGACTGCGGGTCTGGGTCTGCTCTCCAGGAACAGACTGCCAGCATCCGAAACACGGTCCTCCTGTGCTCTGTGTCCAGCGTGTATGGCCTTAAAAATGTAGCTAGGGTTCAGCCTTGGCTGAGGGTACACCGTAACCACGTTTTATTTGTATGGAAGTTCCAGAAAACAAACTTAGTATGTTCTTGTAAACATGTAGATGGACTTAATATGCAGTAAGCTTTCTGGATATATGAAGCATGTTGGAGAATCAAAGTTGGATCAAGAGCTGTAGAACGTATTCATGCAGTGTTTTCCTATTCCAGGATCTTGATTAAAATATGCCTACGTTGTTTTATTACCGTTTGGATATAAAATGTCTGCCGTAACCTGGTGGTGATACAGAGCCAAAGAGTAATGGTACCGGGATCTTAAGTTACTTCTGTGATTTCAGCCATGACACAAAGCCGGTATCATACTAAGTACGTAGTATCTTGGGTCATCGTTAAGATTATTGTAGACATACGGCCTTGTAAAACTTCTGTGGTATCACAGCATTTGAAAAAACGTTCAGAAACAACACAGAGACTGAAATTTGGGGAAATTATTTTTGTTATTCTGAAACTTTTTTTATTATCCTTTTATTTCATTATTTTTCTTGTAATCGCTTTAAGCCATCTGGATGGATAATGGAGAATTGCCGATGTGGTTTATTCCTGCTTTTCTGTTGGCTAAAGAGAAGCAGCTTTACTGTGGGCAGGAAAGCACCTTGTCTGAATCAGAAGTAGTGTTTTTCAGAAAACAAGTATGATTGTGGGAAAATTGTTTTACTTTTCTTTGGGAAAAAAAAGGTGTATTTATTTATTTTGTTTCTTAGGAGAAAAGTTCATACAAACTTACAATTCTCAGCATCGGTCAAGGAAAAATAGAGAAAAATTAAAGGGTTCCCATTTTTATGACACACCAGGGAGATGAGCAGTGGGGTTGATCACTGAGATGATCGGTGGAAATCAATGGAATAATCACCCCTTATCAGCAATACGGACTGAATTCAAGTCTTTAAACTTTAGCATCCCTAGTAGCTGGACGTCTGGCGTCTGTGGAGGTTTCTTTCATGTTTTCCTTCTCAGAAGATGCAATCTGAAGTGAAGTTCTGAAGTCCAGATGTCTTGTTCCTCTAGTGATTGATTGCCCTTGCTTTTGGCAGTGCCGGATCATGGTCTTCTAATAACTATGATTGTCTGTGCTAAATGCAGCAATTAGTAGCTGTAGATGCAAACAGAACACACTGCATCCTGTCTTCTCAAATTACCCTGTGGGAGGGTAATGTGGAGGAATGTGCACATGCTCAAATGAGATCAGTTACAGCATCATTAACAAGATTTCGGGTTTTGTTTTCTCACCTCTTTTCTCAACGTTGACTAATTTCTCCAGCTTTCTGTTGTACTTTGGAGCTAGCAGAAAGCAATAAATACACAGGAAGAATTTCCACAAGGAAATGTGAGCAAGTGCCCACCTACTTTTAGGCTGCAAAAATGCTGTCTTGATTTTTATTTTTTTTTAATTTATTTTCTTTTTCATCGCTGATTTGCCGGGTCACCTTGTCTTAGATTGTAAGCTACATCAGAATCTCTGTGTCTTATAATTCCCAGCACTATGTGCTGAGGCTATGCTCTGAAAATAAAGCTGGTTTTTTACCTGCTTCATATATCATCACTAGTAATAAAGATTTTGGATTTCCAGAATAGCTGGCAATTCGAGCTGATTATACACGAGGCGGAGATGAATGGGGGCTCTGTTGTACAGCTCTGTTGACTTTGCAGTGCCGACGGTTGTACGGGTTCTGTAAGGGGGGTTGAGTTTTGAGGGAGAGAGGGGTCAGTGCACCAGAGAGGTGCCTCTGGTTTACTGGGATAAACGGGGCTTCAGTCCCACTCTGGGGACTGTATGGCTGGGAAAGGATGTCCTTAATAGATGTGATTTGTCCTTGGTGATCCAGGAGTTTGTCAAAAGAGTCTGAAGGCAAGATCAATGAAGGAATAGTTTGTCTTGAATATTTCGTTGTATTTAGGCTACACACAGCGATTCTTATATCCAGAGAGTGTGGATGACTTGTATCTTGAAGGGATCAGAGGGAATCGCTCTCGTGTTTCCCATTGTAGGTCCTGTAATTGTCCCCTTCCTATGCTCAACGTAAGTGTGAGGAGGAAGACCCGATGGGGACCTTGTGTTTCTGCTCAGGCCAAGGAGGGTCTGCCACAAGTGGGACAGATTTTCTCCAAGAGCAAATTCAGACTTTCACAGTGTTCATCTTACTGCTTGAGGGCGGAATGAAGTGCTCAGCGGTGCATTTGCAGCGCTGTTGTTTCCAGAGCGCAGGCAGCATCCATATTAATGTAGCATTGTTACAGGCGGTAATTTATGCAGTGTTCATTACACCTGAGATGTGTACAAGAGCATGTAAAGACACGAAGTGCTACGAAAGCCCTGCAGATGACTACCTGACGACATCAGTTTTTTAAGCAAAGCAAGAGATTAAGATTTGGACGGCGGTCATGCATCGGGCAGGAGCAATCCGTGCCGATACGGGCTGTGGAAGGAGGAGTTGGGGATACCAGAAGGGATGTGCTTTCAGCGGAGGTGGCCTGAGAAGGCTGCCGAGTTTGAGCTTTTAGTTAAGCCAAATACAGCATTGCTATTCCCATCCAAACTCCCGTTTGTGCGGATCTGCGGGCTCTGAGGTGGATTGAACAAAAGCGTTGGGTTTTATCCCAGCTCCGCAATAAAAACCTGCAGTGGTGGTGTGGGTTGCGTGTGAACAGCTCATTTGGCAGAGCTAGGCATGCAGCATGCTGTTTTGCTTCACATACATATCACACAGCTGAAATATTCAAATGACTACTTCGGTGTCTGTTTGCCATGTGTTTAAATAAATACCCAATTTGCAAAATTTTGCAGTAATGGTGCATGAAAATTCGATGTACAGTTGCGTGTACTTTTGACCCAAGGCTTGTCTGCCTATTAAAGATCAGGTCATTTAACTGGTGAATTCTGTTAGTTAATCAGGCAGTTACATGGGACCCATCACTCACACACAGAGTGTGGAAAAACATGTTGTCACTCTTGACTTCTCAACAGTTAGAGAAGCCGCTGAATGCAAGTCCATTAGTATGGGGTGGTTTATGCAGCTAAAACTGTTGGTGGTATTTTCAGAGATGAAGTGTAAGAAAAAACGCTTATTTGTTTTAGTACCTTTTTAAAGGAATTTGTTTATTGTAGATGGGCAAATTACACACCTTGATGTTTTCCTATATTTTTTTTTTTATTTTTCAGGAAACAAAAATCAACTGTGTCCGGCTGGCAACAAAAGGTATGTGGGTCTCCTTTTCCTGCGAAGCACAATGCCAGTAATGTAAAAGCTGCAGTGGTGACACAACTTGATTACAGTTACTATTAAAGAACAAGCCTCTTACTGTTCTGTGGGTTTGTTTGTTTGTTTGTTTTTCTCAAGGAAGGTTTCAAACGCAGAACAACAATTTCCAGAACCATTTCACATATGTGTAGATTCTGTTTTGGTTGTTTTTTTTTCAGACTGGGTATGTCTCTTGTTCCTCCTTTCCCTTATACTGTTGACAGCTTTCCTGTCCCGAGGACTGTTCTTGCTATTGGCAGAATTTCACCAAAAATTTTCCTATTAACTTTTTTCTCTCTGCCCCTGTATAAAGTAGATAAGTAAGAGGAGATCTCACATGAGCCTAAGCTTGAACACAACAGGGCACAATTCTTATATCAGATCATTTTCAGGTATAATTCAACAGAGTGGAGTACATTCCTTATTTTCATTGCAATTAGTTCGGAATAGACCAAACTGATAAGTCAAATAGACTGAGTGAACCTGAGGCAAATACTGTTAAGAGGCAATGCTCCGATCCCCAGGTTGCTTCACAAGGTGTGGCTTTCGAGGGACCAATGATGACAATGTCTGGGTTCTTTCTTGGAGTTTAGAGTTGCTTTAAAGTCTCCGAAGGACTTTAAAATCACCCCAGGGGCTACTTTGCCAGCAAAGGTGTCAGAAACCAATTTACTTGTAACACAAACAGCGGAGTAGCTGTAAAGAGAGTTACTCAACACATGTCGTAGTGTCAAAATGAGCCGTAAGGAAATGACAGGGTAATTGCCATTGGCCGTGCTACAGGTAGGTCTCAGGGTTTCCAAAACGCCTCCTGCCTCCCCCCACCCCGCCCCCCCAAAAAAGCAACCAACCACCAAACCCAAAACCCTCAAGGAATTTCCAAAACTCAGGGTTGTATCTTGTGCTCTCGCTGCTTTGCTGTAATGTGAAATAACTGCATTACTGTCCGTGGAGTCGTTCCAGAGATGAACAAAAATTGGCAGGAACCGATGACCCTTTTTTCTTTGGGGCACTGTCCCATTTTTTTTCCAGTCTTTTCACTCCTTACTGTCTCGTGGCAGTAACAGAAGTTACTGGTACTTTACCCTTATCACTTCTGCATCTGCACTTACGGAGGAGTTGGGAGGGATCAAAGCATCCCCAGCTACCAGTTGTTGGGTAGCAGAAGAGGACTTTGTCTACTTTTCTATGGAGACATCCCCCAGGCTGTTTCAGAAAGCCGTGCACTGGGGTGGCAGGTGCCGCATGAAGTTCCCCCCATGCTGCTGTTTTCACTGCTGAGACCTGATACGCAAACTGGTGGGGCTGTAAGCAATTGTGTCACCACTGAAAGCTGAGGAGGATGAGCCGATTCTCCCCTTTCCCCCTTTCATCTGTGGCTCTGGTGCTCCCCCTATCCTCTCGTTGCTTTCCTTTTTAAAAGTTCCTCATAAAATCTTCATGTAAGTCATTCTTCTGAGTTACAAACGTTCTATGTGTCTCAGTCTCCCCTCCTTCCCCCTCAGTTTTTCCAGCTGATAGTGACGTGAGCATTTTGGATACCTTATGTTGGCTTTCTGGTGGTAGAAAGAGAAAAAGAGCAGGAGTGGGTAAGACGAGTCTGGGTGAAATGAGTCTCCCCAGGGTTTTCCCAGAGCAGGACTAGAGGTCTCTTCATGCGGTGGGAGAAACTGGATTAATTCCTTTTTGGAAACCTGTAGTTTCTTCTGTTTCAGTCATTACTTTTTCTGGAGTTGGTGGAAGAATGTTGTCATTGGTATTTGCTCTGTGACTGTTCAAAGTAAAATAAAACCACTACGAAGCTTGGAAAGTCCCATTCTTGCGTGACCTTTTGATTTGCACTGTCTGATTTGGGTCCTTCAGAAAAGTGTCACAGAAGTGTTTGACCTTGAGTTGACTTCTGCAAACTGATTTAATTTTCGTTAACCTGTTAGGTCACCAAGAAGAGTCAATAAGCCATCCTGTCGTTTCTGAATGCTGTCTCTTTTTCAAAAAGGAGCTCTTACTAATATTAATTTGGTAACAGCTGTAAGAGAGATGGTAGAGCCTGAGGATGCCTAGAGCCACTGTTTTTTGGTAATCTTGTTTTTTAGGGTTTTTCTTGATTGACCTGAATGGAAAAAGACAAGAAATGATGGTAGTCCTAGTGTTTATTCGCACTGTCTCGATGGATATCACTTCAGATTTATAGGCAGATGTCTTATTTCTCTACATGGAGTGTGGAAATGTCTGTGGAAATTCTTTTTATTTTTCCTTTTTTTTTTTTTTCTCTTGTCCTCACTCTGTGACTTGCAATGTTGTGTTTCTCAGTGCCTGGCCATTAGCAAGGACAGTGGAATATGCACAGCTGGGGCTGATTTTATGCAGTTTTAGCTCGTGAAAGGTACGGCGTTGCCTTCGGTTCATGAGCAAGGTAGCATCACAAGTGCATTTGTAGCGTTGATAATGTCACAGTACCCTCCGTTGCTGGCACCTGTGTGGCATGAGCAGCTGAGCCATAGCTGAACAATGTGGTTCTGTGGTTTGGAGCTTTCCCAGAGTTTCAGATTTCCATGTGTCATGAGGCTGAATTCCCACCGTACGTTAACTTGTTATGAATAGGACTCGGACACTCCACATCCCAGCCCCTGAAGAGGGCTGTCACAGCTGCCCCCTCTCGGCTGTGCGGCAACAGACAGAGACACTCCTGAAACTATAATTGCATTGTGACCTGATCGAAGGCTGAGCGGGGATGTTCTAGATGACCTCCTGTGTCTGTGCTGTCTTCTGTCTACTCATTATATTGATTATCTTTAATGGCACTGCCCTGTATTCGCCTTTATTTGCATCGGTGTCTTTCTGAGGATAGAAGAGGGAACCTGTAGTCTGCCTTGAATGAAATCATCGGAGCTGCTCACAAAGATACCGTTGTGGTGTCTTTGGTAAGAGTCGGAAAAAAACCCACTTTTTTGGAGTCAGGACTAATCTCGGCATTGACAGCTTAAAAGCTCTGCTTTGAGTTGGTAATGGAGAAAAAGCTATTTTGTTTTCATGCAAGAAAAGAAACACATTCTAGGTGCCAGACTAAATGTTCATTTTGGGATATAGGCCTAATTTTTCCATTCCCAGACATTTGACACGGCAGTAGCTCCATTAATATTCGTGAAATGAGTTCTGATTTACGCCAGTGCCAGGAAGATTAGGATCGAGACATGTTTAAGCAAGGCAAGTATTCTCTTGAAGTACTGGATTAACAAGGGCACTAAACATGAGCGTGGGAGTAATTAGGCAATAAAATGTGTTAGGCAGTGTGTTACTGGGGGATTATAACACATCTTGGGTGTTGCTGCGAGGCTCCTGTTCAGAAGCTGAGTAGCTTTAATTACTCGAGAGACGCATGAGGCTGTTCCACTGCCGCTCCGTCAGCAGGCTGGGAGGGAATTCGCTCTGTATGTCCCGTTGCCTCAAAACCAAGGAGATGAAAGTAGACAACTCTTTAAAAAAGTGTTTTAGTCCATTGAAGAGAGTTTTGGAGATTTCCCAGTTTTCTCTCCTCCCCTTTTAGCAAGAAATAGACTGTTCAGTTCAGCTCCACGCAGGAGCCGCATCTCATCCCTCCCGGTGGTGCACTCTTCTCCATGGTTTTCTACGCGCTGCTCCCGTTCAGATGAACTTAATTCTTGTGGTTGCAAGAAAGAGCCCTCAAGTCTTTGAGTATTGGCTTATTTTAAATGTCAGGGTGGGTTTCAGCATTTCAGAGGACCAGGTCATGAGACCAGCAGTGCATCCTCCAAAGCAGAGGTAGCAGATGCCCACCCGGGCAAGCACCTCTGTTGAGCTCCTTTTCTTCCATCCAGTGCCTCAGGACAGGAGTTTGCTGGTGCCGGTGGAAGGGGCCGGCGGCAGGGACTCGTCACCAGCCTTTGCTGTGGGGACATTTGGCAATCCATCAGAAAGCTCTCTGCGTCTGTCCAGTCTGTGTAGCCATTTCACACTTTGCCAGCATGTTTTCAATCCACACGCGTCGTTAACCTTTTGTATCTACGTATGTATTTATTTCCAGGCTCGTTGGTCTCAGATTTCTTACGCTTCCAGCCATAAATGTCTCTCTCCCCACATGGGCTACTCCTCTTTTTTAAATTACTGGAGTAATGTCGTCTTTCACAGCGTTAGTCACTTGGATGCATGCGTTTTCGCATTTCATTAGCATAAAACACTCTAAAAATAAGTTTGCAATTAAACCCCGATTTACCAGCTCTCTGCCATACAGTTTTCATTCAGCCAGTTTATTTATTAGTTTTGCCATTTGGTTTCCTTGATATCATTTGTATTAATATGTCCCATTCTTTCTGAATTAACTGACTTGTTCTCCCTGTCTTAAAGTAACATATTTATATTGATGCTTTATTAGAGAAAATTGCAACCTCTTACCAAGAGAGAGCGATTACCTCTTGTATTCTTAAAGCGCATTAAATTAATTTCACAATGTAATTGAAACCAAGGCAGAGGGCTCATTAATGGTTCCTTATCTCCTGATGCTCATTTCTTCTTTCTTTAAAATGTGACTTCTTGCAAATGAAAGAATGGAACTTTAATAATCATTATGAGGTATATTTTTATTTTTTTTCCTTTTTTTTTCCTTGTGCATGCTGCCTGGGAACGATTTTGCTTGTTCTTAGCAGTAATAGGGAGGCAACAGGCGACCACGCGAAACCCATCCAACCTCTTGAGCACAGGTGATTATCAGTTCAGGAAAAGGAAAACTCTTCAAACTTCCAGAAGTCTCAGCAGCGTCATGACTTCTTGTTCTGTATTTGGTTTGCATGGGAAAATGCTTTCACAGTTATTCTAAGTACAGTACAGAGGGGACACTCCTTACACGGCGCTCCTTTTGCACCGAGGTGAATCTCTGCCTGTGCAGAGGGTCTCTGGAGGACTAAACAGCACTTAAACCTTCACAGGAGCACTTGAGCGTGACT